TTGACTGATTCTTATTCACATAACTGAGAATAACCTGGCAATTTTTAGCTTTAGCGTCGCAAGGAAAAGTACAGTGAATTGAAGTTTTAAGCAGCAGATAAAAAAGCTGCTATTTCTATTAAGAAACTTCTCTTTTCATAACAAAAGTCATAATCATGTGTGATTATGATGATTAAATGCCTTCCCAGAAAGGGCCATATCATGTTTTGGGGGTGATGCTCTTGCGCCATTATTTCACGCTGACAAGGGATCACAGACTACATAGACCAGTATTACGGTTTTTCATTTGAAGCAAGTCAAGTGTATTCTTTTCAGCGGTGCCCCAAATAGTGAACACCTGGAGCAGAGACCTTCATCTCAGGTGGAAGAGCCACTGTACAACTCGTGCCTACTGCCCCGCACCGCTCTACCACCACACCTGACGCTGCAGCTCCTCCTCAGGCAAATCTCCTGTTGATCAACAGAAGATTTTTCCAAGATTGAACAAGATCAAGTCCTTTGAACTTCTTCTAAAAAGTCCTTTTCTATTCATGCAGCATAAGTTTGATGCATCTAAAAGAATACCAACACATTTATGGCTTTGAATACATGTTTTTTAGAAAAGCCCAGAGCTTTTGACTGCTTCATATTAAAACAATAAATACTTTTTATACATGTAAATTTTAACAAAACCGGGAGATTAGGAACTTGGAATTGCTCTGCTCCCTACATAGCACAAGGAGTTTTAAAATTAAGGCTCAACATAGCAATACATGTCCTACTTACACGCCTGTAACTTCCATGGAGGTATAAGGTAAAAGGATAAAAACTGAAAACCGTACAGAAGCACAATGTATATTCCTGCCAACTCCTCTAGCTAAGGCCCTGGCATGTGTTACTTAACTGGAAAATCCACAGTCCAGGCACACTTCCAACTGGAGACTCCAGCTATAACATGACGCTTAAGCACTAAAGACAATAGCTGAAAACTCACGAATTGACCTTTGTAAATAAAGGCATTCTGTGTTTTTAGGGTCCAAGGTTTGGTTTCTGGGATGTACTTAAGTTGAAACAGCACTAAAAGACATGTTGACAAGATTTCTCCCTAAGACACAAAAATCTCTTGGGATCAGTTATTTTGCTAGCATATCTGCTATTAAAAGGCGCAGATTTCTCACTGGGTTTTTAAATAAATCATCCTGGTCTTCCATCTAATCCATACCAGACCTGGAGACCAAAGAAAACCTAAAACAACATCTACATTTTAGGAAATGGAAAGGAGGCGAAATGACCCCAGCAGCTGTAAGCACATTAGGCTGATAGGCAAAGCTTTAGATCAGATGATGAAAGGAGTATAATAACGTGAAGGTAAACCAAAAAACAAACAAAACCAAAAACACCACCAAAAAAAAAAAAGAAAAAAGAGACCACATGAGCCTGCCAGCCAGATCATATATAACTAAGCTGATAATTTTTTTTTCTTGGCACAGGAAGCTTTGAAGATCTTCTCTGCCTGAATTTTGATTAATTACATGAGCCAGAATTGACACAACATCATCCAAAACTCTGGTCACCAGTACTCAGAGGTGAATTTAACTTGAAGGAGGTATAGAAAGGGTTTCAAAAGCTATCGCAGAACTGGGAGTATGCTCTCATTAGAGAAGACTAAAAGAGCTTGGCTTCCACACAACAGCAAAAGGGAGACTAAGAAGGGTATGATTATTGTCTATAACTATATGCATTGTATAATCAGTTGAGAGGAAGAGGAGCTATTCAATCTAGAAAGAAACAAGAACTGAACTATGTAGATTCTAGTAAGTATGGGCAAAATTAGGAATATTTTCCTTTAGATACCAAAAGCAAAAAATCACTTTCAAAATGGAGTTTGACACGTTTCCGAATATGAAAATAATACATGCACTAAACAACATCCAAAAACACACAACTAACACAAAAAAAATCTTTTCCTATAGTATAGACTTAAAGGAATCATATTTATTTACAGCTAAATTCTTGACTTCTCACCATTCCAACCACCATACAGCTTTATCTATAAAGTTACCACGGGACAGGTAAGAGAATAATTCATTAAATACTAATTCATAAGTGGCCTATTTTGTAGGTCTTGATACTCCAACAATTTCAGTAGAGCTTTATCCCAAAGAAGATTTATACTTCCAGGCTCTTTATGTCAACATCAGAAAAAAGCAGCAGAAGTTGCACATGCAGAAAGAAAAGCTTTTCCCGGACGGATCCTCGACAGTTTGCTCCTCTCAAGGAGGATGAAGTACACAAAACAATACCAGTGGAAGATGTCCACATACAGCCAAACAGATGAGAAGCATTTAGGTGAGGGCAAAAAATAAGCCTAAGAAAGCATCAGTCTGTCATTAGGCAAATCATATTTTGCTTCTTCAAATGTACATAGTTCCTACTGCAGTAACTCGGCAGCAACTCTCAATGGCCACATTCTCCCCCCTGTGCTGCGCCGGCAGACAAATGATTCTCCTTGTCGGAGAACGCTCACTCCATCCTCCTGCAGCCCATTTCACTTCACCCGCTGTTGCCGTATTTTCATTTCCTTTATTACCTCCATTTGCTGCTTACCTTGTAAATGTGAGTGAGTTTAGGACATAGTTATTTGTTCGGTATTTATTAGGGAATTAATTAGAGGGGAGTAAGAATTTCTTGCTAATTTATTTTGTACAAGCTGCAATCATTATTATTCTTGCATGCTCCCAGGGTTTATGGATAAGTGCATTTTAAAAATCAAAGCAAAAAAAGAGAATCCCTCATCAGAATCAGTGGGTGAATCTCTAAAGATTTAATTTACATTCATCTAGTATTCATCTGAATGCATAATATTCTTCTTAATTATTTTATATATCTCTAGATAGATCTGGGAAATTATTTTTATTAAGGTATTTGCATGTGCATGCCTCAAATTCTGCTAGTCTTGGCATCTGTACTTGAAATTAGAATTTACACTGAATAAGGAAATACGGGTCATTCTGCAAACACAACAGAGATGAAGTCAATGGCAACTTGTTGGAAGATCTTGAGCTCTCGCCAAGCCACGCTTCCCAAAACATTTTGCCCTGCACCACACTCAAGCCTCAGTTATCAGCTCTTCCACCCTGCAGGAGCCAGCTGCTCTGAGCATGAAAGGCACGCACACAAAACGTAACCAAGTCATAATTCAGCAAAAAACTTGGTGACGCTTAGACAGATGTATGATTAGGTCTTCTTATCTTTTAAGAAAAGTGCCTTCTTCAGTTTGATTATAGGGACTCACTTCAGCCTACACCTTAAGTGTGCTAATAGTCGGTTGTGTTCAGCATTACACTCAGTCATGCCGTAACACACTTGTCACTTTGCATTTGTTTCATTGCCTCAATCTAACAGCCTGGGGGCTGTTACAAGGGTTTTTTTGCTCTCTGTGACTTGTCTCCACTTGTTGACAGCACAGACACAAAAAAGACATTTTTCTCCCCTATCGGGGCACTCTTTGCTCTTTCCTGTTTATATTTTGTTCCAGTATGCGGAGTTAAATGCAAAGCAGCAAACCCAAGGTTAGCCCTGTCGTCTAATGATGTTTCCTTATTTAGCAGTTAGTTTTACTGCAATCTTCTGGTTTCTCCCCCACAAATGTTCTCAGTTCTGTTCTCTGGAGCATAATTATTTTAAGTACCTTTCCCGCAGCAGCAGCACGCTAATACTTCTTGGCTTTTCAAAAGAAGGTTTGTCGTCTTGAAGGTGACCGAAACACATCTTGAAGAAAGTATCAAAGGGCTCAATCCTGGCAGGGTACTGCAACAGAAGATTAGGACCCACATACTTTGTGGATCTGTGCGACTGAGATACCCGAGCCTTAAGGTGTACAGCACAAAACCGCAACCTCTGTATTTCTGAAACATCTCGAGGGCAGTTTCCATGGGCACAACCAACCTGCAACCCCGAAGGGCGTTTAACACCCAGGCACACTGGTTTGAATCTGTTTGTATTTCACATTGTCAGAAAAACTGTATCACAGCGTGCACTCATCCAGCGCTCTCCATTACACGACCTGGATGTCAGCTCTTCATTTCTTTGCCAAACTTTAACCATTCAGCAATGAAATAATCCTGGCTGGATGACTGCCCGGGCTGGGGTGGGTTGGTTGTTTGTATTCTTAAAGTAGCAGCCAGGGTGATTTTACCAATTTCCTCAAATGAAGCTGCAATTTCTGAAATAAGGCACATCTCTCCAAAGGAGATGAACGTAAGCCAAAATGGTTTGGAAAATACGTTTTATGCATGTTCAAAAATATCAACTACTTCTTGTATGTGGGAAGATCTAATGCCTTCCTGCTTGGAGAAATACCTCTGGATTTTAACAGTCAAACGAGTTGTCTCTTTCTACCAGACCTGTGAAAACACAGCCAAGTTTGAACAAACTAGAACACCAGAAATTCTCAGTTCGCACATAAGGAATATAAAACACTGTGGGGAATATATGTCCATATTATTAGTCTCAAAATGCACAAGGAAGCTAAAATAAAGTTTATTCTAGCATTTCCTAACTTCTAAGTGGTTGACTTTGCAGCCAAAGTAATCTCTTAACAAGCGTCTCATTTCTTTCTAAATGAAATTTCACATGTAATAAAATTATTGTTAACAATCAAGAGTAAGAATTAGCATGTCTTTCAAAGCAGGCTAGGCAGCCTCCAGAATAACACCAAAAAGCACTATTAATGGATAAAAGCATGCTAGTTAGAAGAAGGAAAAAAAGCCAGGCAGACTGAGAAAATGGATGCTTTTTCAGTAATTACGTGGACTGAGAAACAGCTATTTTTGTCGACATCTTCAAAGAAACTTTTAAAGTTATGGAAAGTAAACAGAGGAAAACCAGCAAGCACAATGGGGGTTTTTTCCCCCAGAAAAATGGTAGTTTGAAAACCAACAATGAAAGCAGACAAATCTATTTTGGAGAACAAAGAGAATGCCATTTGGGTAGAGGCTAGGGTTAGTGAAATCACCTACCATGATTTTAGTCCATGCACACATCAGATCAGGCATTTTACTGGTGAGATTTTAAGTGGAGCTTGGTCACCCTTGAAAATCCTTCCCACCACACATAGCTAGGCTGGCTGTAAATCAGGACAGTAGGGAAGATGACACAAGATACTCAAAATTAGAAACTGTCTGACAGCTAAGCCCGTTAAAAGACGTGTGGCAGGGGAGAGAGCATATAAACAGGAACTTGCTAGAAGGTCATATTTGTATGTTTTGTGCTCAACTCTTGCAGCTTTATGATGACAATTGTGATATTTAGGGTTCTATTTCACGTTTTTCTTATTATTATTTGTAAGTCCAAGCTCCTGTACAGGAATTACAAGATTAAACATGGAGTGTGACGTGTAGAGGGACACACAAGAGTTTAGGCGCATATCTCCTGGCTTTTATGTGTATTCAATGAGAAATATTTTATCCAAGTAAACCAAGCAGACTCTCAGGTTCTCATGATCTTTCCCCAGGTGCTGATGAGCAAACTCTAGTAAGTACAGGCCGCATTTTGCCATGTTCCGTTATTTTTTGCAGGGTGTTTTAAATGAAACCACCGGTGGCAAATCCACAAAGCTTCTCACAGAAGGGTCTAGGGTGACCGCAGTGAACATGTTTTACTTAATAACGGGGAAACATAAAACGTGCAGAAACTGTGACACGATCGTTGGGTATGTGAAACAGCTGCTTTCCAGTAACCCTGGTTTTGGCCTCAGCAGACCAGACCTGGAAGTATTAGTCAATATGACCAATCCCATGCTGCCACAGAAGAGTTTTTGCCATTATGTGTGAAGTGTTAAGTAATCTTATTCATTTACTCAAGCCAGTGACTAATATTACAGAAGTTTGTGCAACTCTAAATTTCACTGCAGAGCTTTTGCAGAGCAATTAGCTAGCACAAAGCCAAACTTAAAAAAGACATTTTGGCCGTGACTCTTTGATGGCACCCACTGACACGCCCTAAACCCTAACTTAAAAAAACTTCCTAACATAAACATGGCTCTTACTGTTCCCATGTATGAAGAGTTTTAAGAGCTTTGCTTTGGAAATGTAGCAATTGTCTTAAAAACAAACAAACAAAATCCGGAGGGACTTGTGACCCTCTTTCTTCCACATCATCTACATGTATTCCTGTTACGAAACTTGCCTCTTCTGTAACAAAGAAAATCCCCCACGCAGATACATGATGTTGTAAAAGTTTATACTTCTTTTTTCAGTCTGGATTGTAATCTCCAGGATCTTTCAAACCTCACTCTAAACACTAATCTGCATATCAACAGCTCTTGGACTGTGGGTATACGAAGATGTAATGGCATGCCAGTTTCCTTTCCTAAAGCAAATACCATTTTCCATTCACAAAAATTTGCAGGAACAGCTTCAATTTCTCTGAAAATCTGGCTTTACATGTCAGTCCAGATCAGGATTTACCTTTTTCAATACAGAAAGGCCTCTTAAATTCTAAGTGTTTATCTGTTCTTTAAAATAAGTTTTTATTCAGGTTGGTAGAGGCTTAACTCTCTCGGTAGCCTCAGCCTTTTCAAAGGGATTATTTACCACCTCAATTAAAGAACAGAATAACATGACCAATTGAAAAGATGAAGGAGCTAGGGTTTTCTATTAAACTTGAAGTTACCCTCAAACTACAGTTGCAACTATCCTTATGGATAAACAAACCTTAGTCAATTATTGCAGCGGCAAACCAAATTAAGATACAGTATCAAACCAGATTAAACATGAGATTAATTTCTTGAACAAGTACGTGCCCAAAATGGCAAGAACTCTTCAGCAGTCTGTTTTACACAATCCAGCGTATCCTTGGCATTACAGCCCCGAGGGAGGAATACAGATCATCAGGTGTTGTGAAAGCCCAAATGTTTAAAACCACAGGGCTGTTTTAGCACCGGTACGTATGGTATTTTATTTTTTTTTTTTTTTTTCATAATTTTGAATAATTTTCGTTATGAGTTTATCAAACTAATTTGTGCTTCAGAATGATCCTATCAATATTTCAGTAGCATGTCTAACCTTCACCAGATAAATCAACCGATCTGGACTTTTATTGCCCCGGATATAGTATCTACATTTTATCATCTCATAAATTATTGCTCACCTCTGATTCTCAGAAGATTTTCCATGATCCATTATCAAGCAAAAGCCTAAATAATGTAATATTATTATTCCATTGATGGTATATAGTTTTCCCCCCTCCAAAATTCAGAGTTAAATAACTGCAGGCTGGGCATATCAACTCTATTAACTTCAGAAATATTGGAGGCATTTCTTTGTTTTTTCTATACTTGCTATATAGGGATAGGAATCCGCACATCGTCTTTTCCCCCAGCAATAAATCCCAAGGAAAGACGACAGCAATGCAGAGAGTATTTCTCCACATCCTCTACTGCCAGATCAATTTTGTTTCTGAAGGGGTTTCTTGTTCCATCAGAGTCCGAGGCAGACTAAACGCCAGGCAGTATGAAGGAGCCGGAAAGACTTGCTTCCTGAATGGATTTAAAAGGGAAACTTTGGAAATAGCCAGAGAATTACCATTTACTTTGGCTACGTAAGTCCTCCTAGAGTTTCCTTGGAATACAGAGATCCTCCCCAGGACCGTCTTAGCATGTTTCTGCATTCGGCAGCTGCTGCGAAAATGGGTTCACTGGAGGAACAGATGCAGTGGTTCCTCCTGCGCTATCCCATATAAAACATCAACGCGTGCCCTGTACACGAGCGGCACGCGCTGATGAGGGAAGTGCATCTCCAACGCTGCCAAACCTGGCACACGCTATTGAATGTACTTTTTGAGTGCTTGCACTATGCTCCTCAGTTCACCACTGCTGGGACTTACCACAACGCACCAAACCTTTGGACAGCTTCAAAGGCTGTTGAAAGAAACGCAGCCCAGCCCGCGCTCTTCTCTGCTGACAAGTCTGGGAACCAACCACGCACTTGGTAATAAAATGTGTCCTATGGGCCTTCAGAATCATCACTTCTCCCTTTGTATGTCTATGTAGCAAGTCCCTGTTTCTCTTCTCTTCCAACCCCAAAATTAGATGTTTCCAGAATGCTAAAAGTTATACAAACGGGGGGGGGGGGGGGAAAAAAAAAAACAAAAAAACACCCTTGTTTCCGATACCTGGTAGGAAAATGGATTTATTTTTAAGAATTATGGTAGTAACTGCCACTCACCATAGGCCTTCATACATCTGCATTTACAGCTCCCTGAGTGCAAGGAGATGGAAAAAAAATCTGATTTGAATTTATTATGTAATTTCTATGGCTTTTATGAAAGACATTTTAACAATTGTCTACTACGCATGCAGGTTAACATGTCTCATGTATTATGGAGTCAATATCCCACCCAATGTAAATTTCAAAGTTCAGCATGCCCTGAATTAAATTCTGTAATGACTTCTAAAGACGACAGTACAATCTGTAATGTCAATAGCGTACTGCAGTCCATGGTTATAATTTGTTAGGTCAATAATTCACCACAGTCTACTAAACTTAGGACTGGCTTCCTCAAGAGTACCAAAATAAATGTTTAAAAGGTTCCCAATAGCATGTTTATGGTCATCTATAATTAGCTCTGCAGCATCAAATAAATACATCACAGAAATTATATATATAAATCAGACCGCGATCTCCATTTCACACTTATTCTCCAAGGACTGGCATGAACAATTGCAAAACCTCCTCTAGATCACAATGGCCTTAATACACAGCACAGTCTGCACAGTCAGTGAGACTCCTTGATGTTGTGTTCTCCTTTGACTACATCAAGCGTCTGAGCAGAAGCCAAAGGCCGATTCCTGTTTAAGAAATAACAGGAAAGCTTCTCATCAGAAAACCATCTGATTTCACCTTGTAATTCAGCCCCAGCAAGCAGCTGAGAGCTATCAGGTCTTTGGGCTCCAGTTGTCACGGAAAAGGACTGGCTACAGGACCACACAGTGTTAAAGAGACGCAAAGGGGGAAGCGTCCCTACCCCAGCTAGCGCAGAATTTGATAAAGGAAAGGTCCATCATAGAGAAGTCCTCTCCTTACTGAGGCCGCTTACCCTATTCAGACGTTATTTAAAAAAAAAAAAAAAAAAAAAAAGATAATAAAATTTTCTCTGTTAAGCAGCCAGGACTTCTGTGGCATGCAGAAGTGCTGGCTGTGATCTGTGGTGTTTGAATGCTTTCAAAAGCTTGTCTCTACCTTTGGGATAGATATGAGCTCCATGAAGGGGAAAAAAAAGCCTAGCTGGCACATGTTGATATACGGCAGCTCAAATTATACTGCACACTGCTGGATTCTTTTTTTTCATCTATATGCCAGGAACAATTGACCTAAGGCAAGACTTTTTATTGCAACTTTTGGCAGATCCAGTCAATATCCATTATTTACAATAATGCTTTTTGTGTGTGTGTGTTTCTGCTGCAGTATCTCTGTCTAATTGTCATGTCCAGAGAGGACTCCACCATATAATTATTCAAAGTTCATTTAGTAAGTGATGCAGATGCAAGACACGGGAGAAAAATAATACCAGTCAGTATGAAATTACATTCCTAACAGCACTTCTGCAATGTATCTCTCCAAGCAAAAAGTACATGGCAAGCTAGCACTAAAAAACCTCTATGTGGGCTCGAGACCCTTTTTTCATGTTTCCTTCAGTACCTCAACATCCTTTGTTTCCCTAATCTATCGTGACAGGCAGCTGCCTGGACTGCACTTGCAAAATCCCACTTCTACCACCGTGCAGCACAGAACCGACGTCACAGCTCTTGCTTAGGAAAAAAAACCACAACATAACTGGAGTCCCGTACACCCATGCTTTAAGCAGAGCTGTTGCAAATAACATCTGAGACCTCAGAAACAGGGAGGGGGGAAGCGCATGGGAACTTTCCTCTGCCTTCTTGGTGTATTTGCTCTGAGCAACCCGCTGGCACGTTAGTGACAGGATGGTGCTGTTATAAACACCCTGCACAGCACTGCAGGAACGGCTTTGCCTTCAAGGGCAAAGTCATTCCTGGTTTGGGAACAATCCTGGACTGGCGGACAAGCGAGGACCAGGAGGA